AAAGATTATGCATTTAAAATGAAGAGGAGTTATCCTAGCATTGATTTATATGATAACATTCCCTCACTAGACATCATTTAATAAATATGAGGAATATCTTACATGTAAGGTCCCCGCTGCGTATGCAGGCGGCAGATATTCACATCATACACTATTCTATTATTACAGTTCTATATAGGTGGCCTTAGGCCCCCGTCATACAAATACTATATATGTGGCCTTAGGCCCCCATCATACACTATTCTACTATTACAATACTATATAGGTGGCCTTAGGCCCCCCTCATACAAATACTATATATGTGGCCTTGGGCCCTCAGCATACACTATTATTACAAGGGCCTAAGGACACCTATATAGTATAGTCATACAAATACTATATATGTGGCCTTAGGCCCCCATCATACACTATTCTATCATTACAAGTCTATATAGGTGGCCTTAGGCCCCCGTTATACAAATACTATAATAATATGTGACCTTGGGCCCCCATCATACACTATTATTACAATTCTATATAGAGGTGGCCTTAGACTCCCGTCATACATATATAACGCCGGCAACACTATAACGTGCTACTAATAACTTACCGAGTGCTGCACTGGCGCTTGTCTTGTTTTTCATATTTAATGCTATATCTGTGCCAATGGGTAATACAATCGGTATATACCATGGTAACTTGTTTTAGCATTACTAAAATACGTAAACAAAAAGAACTATTTTCGGTCGCGGAAGGGTTATTGTCGGAGTGAGCTTACAGGGGGCTGAAGGCCACCGGCGGGGGACGAGATGGCCTAAAGCCACACTTGGATGTAGATCTCTGTCGCCTGCGCCTGAAACGGTGCTCGCGCATGTGCAATAACTGCCGAGAAGATTAATATTTAGCAAAAATTATGAATTTAAAATGAAGAGGAGTTATCCTAGCATATATTTATATGATAACATTCCATCAGTAAATCTCTCATAAGAAACAGAAAGAAGACCCTGCATGTAAGGTCCGGGCTGTATATACCATTCAGTACATAATCTGCCTAAATAAGTGTGTTAGCGCATGCGAAATATCTCGCCAGGGGAGTTATATTTTGTGATGAATATGCATTTAATATGGTTATGGCTTATCTCAGCATAGATTTTCCTAATCCATATTAAATGCATATTCGTTACAAAATATAACTCCTATAACATATAAATCTTTGCAAAATATCACTCTTCTCGGGAGATATTGCACATCCCCGTTTCAGGCGTGCAGTACGGACTAAGGAAAACTATATATATTATATAGCTTGTTGAGAAAGGGAGAGGGGTGGAATACTGAGGAAAGGCGGCAGGAAAGATAGCTGAGGGGTGGTAGAAGAAGAAGAAAGGTGAGCGAGGGACAAAGGATACCAGCGGAAGGGCAGGAGGGAATGAAGGCTGAGTTATGCAGCCAAAAGGATAGGGCGCTCTCCCAATTATAAACACAGGCCTACTGATGAGAATTAATTACAGAAATCTATGCCGGGGAGGGAAGGGCTGGGGAGGCAAGGGGTAGAACGCGATGGCATAAAGTAGGTGTTTTGTACCCTACATGCTAGGGCGCTCTCCTAATTATAAACAAAGGTCTACTGAAAAAAAAATTATTAGGGGGTATCTCTGCATAGATTTATGGAATAAAGTGTTATCAGTAGACCTGTGTTTATAATATGGAGATGGCCCTAGCCTGTAAGGTGCAAAACTCCTAATTCATCCCCTCCCATCCTTCTCCTATCTAGCGACGACCATACTCAGCGATACATGTACAGAATAGGAATGTTGAGAATATTGGGCTACACCTATTATAATTATAAGACACGCCCAGAGCTTTTACATTTTTAGAGAAAAATATTCCTAATTAATCCCCTTGCTTTTTAAATACACATTTCTAACAAATTTTGATTTCTTTTAGCTGATAGTGAGCATGCGCACAGACATATCTGACCCTATAATCTATGGCACGTCTCGAGGAGATCTGGAATATTTTCCACCTGATAATTATTGAAAGGAGTCATTAGTATCAACAATTTTCACACCCACCTTTTTCTAAATATGTACTCACTACAGGTGTATAATTTGAACCAAAATATTAAGGAATTTTTTAAATTACCGTGGAACACCATAATCTACTTCTCACGCGCGACTCTACCGCTGACCTACTGCTACAATATATGCTACAAATATTCCGACTGTTGAGATTAGTACTAGTGGGCTCCATGTTATTATGTAGGGAGGCAGTACGTTTTAAATTTTTAATGGAAAACTGTTTTGCAGTATAATACTCTATGTTAAATACGCAATTCCAACAAATTGATACAGATATTAGGCATGCGCTCAGGTACGTCTGCCCCTATAATATAACGCGTTTCAATAAGGTTTGAATGATTTGCCGCCTGATAACAAATGGAGTGAGTAATTTGGATCAATATTTTCCATATTTAACTAATGTTGAGTTTGTACTTTCTAGAAATGTATGATTCCATCAAAATCATATATACGGGGCTCTGGCTAGAGGGGTGTGTGTGGCAGCGGAGGTTGTTTCCGTACTGGGTATATATTATAGCTATGGCTGTGGCAATGACGCACTGCACACGGAAAACTGTTTAGAACGCAAAACGCACGTGCATTTGCCCTTTGAACCAAAATAAGTTATTACTGTGAACAAATTGCCACAGGAAAATGTAGGCTCATAACTCTGTGTCAAAACAGACAGGAAAAATCGATCGTACAACCGGGTTTATTAGCACAACGCGCAAATAAATGTACACACACACACACACACACACACACACACACACACACACACACACACACACACACACACACACAATTATTTTACGACAAAACGTGAACATTTGCAATTTCGTTGCGAAACACTATCTACTCGAGGCAAGGCAAACGTGCAATTTCATGACTACGTTACGAATTTTCTATGGTGTATATTTGTAAAAATGTTGTTGCAAATTTTTAACATTAAAAGTAAGTACTAACGGTACTAGATGTATCTTCAAATTCTTACCTGATAAGATTGTTTCTCAACTAGTTAAAAATTCAAAAAACCTGGGCGATTTCATATATTGATCACGACATTAAATACTTGCTATGGGCTATGGATGAATCACGAGTGTTTGTTCACATCGAACGGAATAGCACAATAGGAAGTATAATGCAGCAATTTAACCATAAAAAGTGAACAGCATCACTTACATTTTGTGAAAAATTGGATATAATTTTTTTTCGTTTACTATTTACGGTGACGTTTTCACTTTCAATTTATTATATTCAACGCGTTCTTGAATGTAGTCAGACCTGAGAGGTTACTGTTATCGAGACAAAATTTCCACTTTCACAATGATGGTAAGCACAGTGTAAGAAATCTCACGTATAATGTTCTCAATGAAAAATGAAGTAAAAAGTTAATAACGCGGGGCTCGGTATATGGACGTGACAACTCACAAGAGATTCAAGCTATAACACGCGCGGCCTGGTCTAGCAGGCGGATTAGTGTATGTCACTACTACGCACAACGTACCTACCAATGTTACAGTAGCAATGCTTTCTCCTGATAGGTAGCGCAACGAAGTCATATATCGACCGACTAGA